AAATCTGGTCTTCCTGTTCTTGAGCGTAACCAGTGGTGTACACCTTGTTGTAAACTGTCTGAGCTGGCTAGTATATTCCTTCTGGTTGAAAATGTCCCAAATGTTATTTTGGCTCCTCATAAAACTTTTTAATCTCTCTCTGATATGTTTATTTAGTTTTTCATTTAATGATGGCTTCTGTTGCTTCATCAACATCTCCTTAAAACTCATATTAAGTGTTCCAGTAAACAGCTACCCAATGCCAAGTGTAAATGGTTGTCTGCCTCTCTGTGTTAGCACTGTAACAGATTGGCAGACTGTTCAAGGTATACCCTGCATCTCTCCCCATGGAGGTGAGATAGGCTCCAGCCCATCAATGACCCTGAATGGGTGAGTGGATGGCTAAAAAGAAAACAAGAAAAATGCTTCAGTGGCAGGACCCACTGATTGATAGGATTCACCCTTCTTCAAGGTTCTGGACATCATAAGGCTGCTCTGGTCTGTAACACAACACACAGTTAGTAAAGTGTTTTGGCAATTACAATTTCTGTAATTTGTTAAATCTTAGCCTTCGCTTGTGTCAGCATCTCTTTGGACCTCATACAAAGGGTTTCACTGGACATCTACTAAATGTAAGTTCAACACTTATCTCTATATCTCTGCTTAATTAATGATAGAATAATTATGGGAAAAGTCTTAAAGATTGACTAACGCCAATGAAAATGCTTTCTAATCTGAGACCAAATTTTAGTGAGTCAGATACTACTGGATTTTTACATTTATGCTTCACCCAGATCTGAGTTTGAATGAACCAAAGATTTAAGAGTATTAGAGAAAAAAGTCATACTTTCCATCCGTTCCCAATCAGGTCTATGTTCCCCGCCCCAGAATGACATACAACGTATGTTACAGGCCCAATAACAGAGCTGAAAGCAAGGCAACCCCATTCCTCCTGTAATCTTGGCTCTTTGGAGAAATATCTTTTTTATTCTGGGTGTCTTCTTGTTCCAGATAAACTGAGAAATTAACTGGTCTATTTTCTTAATTTATTCCAAGATATTTAAAGTATTTGAGATGGTAAAAGGAAACGAAGTCAATGTAGCACTGTCTAATTTTTCTAAAGAACTAATAGGAAACAATATGCCTTTTGTTAGCTTAATTTTGTATCCAGAATTTTTCCCAAATTCAGTTAAATCTGTCATAATTTTTGGCAATGATTTAGTAGGGTCAGTGATATATAGCAACAAATATGTTCTACACCAAATCTCCTTATTCCTTTATAATCCTTTGCAGAGCGTAATTGAATGGCGAGAGGTTCTATGACAAGTGCAAATAGCAATGGGGACAAAGGGCACCCTGGTCTTGTAGAGCGGTGGAGGAGGAAAGGACTAGAAGTTATATTATTTGTATTAACCGAGGCCTTAGGTTTTGTGTAAAGCAGCTTAACAAGGGAGATATGATTAGGGCCTATGCCAGACTTTGACAGGGTCGAGAAGAGGAAATCCCACTCGACCCTGTCAAACGCCTTCTCCGCATCTAGTGAGAGTAGTACTTCAGATTGATCACAAATGTTATGTGTATATATTAACAAATATTCTAGATTTACTAAGACACGTTTTAACATCGTCATTATGGGTTTTTCACTATGGGCTGATAGAAAATGTAATTTATACCGCTTAAAATGAATAAACATGTACAAAAGAGAAGGATTCGTAAATGTTTCTGAACATACCCCTTTAAGCGTACAGGCTCATCATCATACTTACTATATTCCTTTTATCCACACTGACACCAGTCTCTAGGATCTTCTGTAGGATCTCTGCGTGCCCTTTGCTTGCTGCTAGGTGCATAGGCGTGTTTTCTTTCTGTAATCCAGACATAACAATATATAATAACTAATATATTATATATACATATACATATACATATATATACATATACATATATACACATATATATATACACATATAATAACACATATATATGTGGATAAATATATATATACTGCTGCTGGTTACACATAAATATAGGGGAACGATACACAAAATTCACGGTTCGGTTCGGTTCGATACTTTGGTGTCACGGTTCGATATTTTTTCGATACAAAAAAATGTTCATGCATTTTTAATTTGTCATTTATTAAAATTATAAATATATATTTTAACTCAAAAGTACAGTTTTTAAATTTAACCCTAACCCTTGTGCGTGTTTTTTATTTTGACAGCGAATGCGCACCTGCGGACCACTTATGTGCAGCCCTGGTTATTTAGCTCATCATATTGCAGCCACAGAAATTCTTTTGTCCATGAAACCATAAAGCTGCACTTTCTTTTTGCCTTATAGTCTGATTTGTCATAACTTCTCCGTTTTGTGGTAAGCTTTTCTTTGGCTGTCACTTCTTCACCCTGACCTGTCTTATTTGGCTCAGCAGAACTAAAATATATATCCTGCTGCTTTTACACACGCACTCACATAAGCTCAGCGATTCTCTGCGCGATCAACCTCTCACATGTTTAAGCTTGCTGCGGGAGATTTCACTTGTCATGTTTGCATAGTAAGCTAACGATTAATAAGACGATGTCAGAGGAATTGGTGCACAAATTATCATCACTCACAGATCAGTGCTGTCGCTCTCTATACACAGTTCGCATTGCAAAGTGAAAGCAAAAAAACAAGCGCAAATTCAAACGCGATTTCAATATGTCACATATTGACAGTGGCTCACCGATGCCAATGACATAATTACCCAGCTACATTTCTGAAAGAATGCAAAAGCATTGACATATATTTTTCCTTCCTACAATAGCCCGACGGGCAGGGAAGAGATAGATTTTGGTAGCCCGACTGAAAAAATCGCTAGCTCCGGACGTCGGGCTAGCGATATTGCGAGCCCTGTATCTGATTGAGGAATCACTCATCTTTGGAAAAGAGAGTTTATTACAGAGAAATGTCTCTTTCCAAAATAAAAGCTATACTATCCGCTTCTTCTGGGCTATATTCTCAGCAGCATAAGGAGAATCCTGTGCTAACAGCTGTCTAAATGACTCGGCTAAAGTTAGTAGCATGCTTGTTGTTTTTGTCTTTGCACTAGGATGATGTCGGCGTAAATGTGCAGTCATATTCGTTGTGTTCCCACTAGTGCTTTCAGGTTAATCTCGTTGAAATGACCTTAACGCCACAACACGGCAAATCTCCGTTAACGAGCTACCGCCGATCGCCCCGTGCATGGGGCTAGACGGCCAACACGTTAACGAGCTAACTGCGCTAACACACTAGTTCCCACCCATGTAATTGAGCATTGCATGGCACATCCAACATACTGTTTTACTTTAGTCCATGACTCGCTTACCTTCAGGGTCATACGTCACATGAAAACCAAAATAATTCCAAACGCCAGATCTGAATGAGGGTGGGGGAGTCATGTAGGAGAGCTTAACTTCTGTCTCGCTAGCTTGCCCTGCGCTCTTCCTTCTGACTATGCTGTCTGTGTTGAGCGCTCAGTGGATCTGCGCTCGACAGTGCAGCCTAGGCGGAGTAGTCGAACGCAGATTCACTGAGCGCTCAACACAGACAGCATCGTCAGAAGGAAAGTTGATAAAATAAATTACAAATGTTGTATTGTTCATACATATGCGTACCGAACCGAAAGCACTGTATCGAACGGTTCAATATCGATACGAATATCGTTGCACCCCTAATATATATATATATATATCATATATATATTATATATATAATAAATAATCCAGGGGCAGCAAATCACATCCAGTTTGCGTTTAGTTGGAACATCATTTATTTTTCACACACCTCCAGGCTGTGTAAGGGCTATCTGACCAAGAAGGACAGTGATGGTGCGCTGCACCAAATGGCCTGGCCTCTACAGTCACCTGACCTAAACTTAGTGGAGATGGTTTGGGATGAGATGGAGCGCAGAGTGAAGGCAAAAGGACCAACAAGTGCTCAGCATCTCTGGGAACTCCTTCAAGGCTGTTGGAAAACCATTTCAGGTAATGACCACATGAAGCTCGTCCAGAGAATGCCAACAGTGTGCAAAGAGGTAATTAAACCAAAGGGTGGCTATTTTGATCTGAATGAAAATATACAATATAAAAAATGTTTTGAGTTATTTCTCACTTTTTCGTTTACTTCATAATTCCATGTGTGTTCATTCATAGTTCTGATGCCTTCATTGAGAATCTACAATGTAAATTGTCATGGTTCTCACTTGGCCTTGTTTTTATAAACATTTCAACACATCTTTTCAAGTCAGTTTCAAAACTCTGAAATGCTGGCTGCTGCTCAGCACAAATTACCTTGGCAGAAGTATGGGAGAGCCTAACAAAGCTTTTTTGCACAGCTTCTGCTTGTATGGCTAAACACATCTGCTGATTCAAAGTGTGTGTCTGTGTGTGTATGTGTGTCCCTGTCTAGCTATCTTTGTGAGGACCGAAATCTGCATTCTGCTATACTTGTGAGAACCAACAGTCACTTGTGAGGACACACAACCTGGTCCTCACAAATTTGAAGGCATTTCAAGGCATTTTTGAGGCTCAAAATGTGGTTTTAGTGTCAGGGTTACAATTAGGTTATGTTTAGGTATAGGGTAAGGGTTAGGCATTCATATTTAATGGTTAGGGTAAGGGGCTAGGGAAAGCATTATGTCAATGAAGGTCCTCACTAAGATAGCTGAACGGGGTTGTGTGTGTGTGTGTGTGTGTGTGTGGTGTGTGTGTGTTGTGGTGTGTTGGTGTGTTGGTGTGTTGGTGTGTGTGTAGTGTCCTTCAAACCAGGCATGTAACCCATTCCAATCAGAAATTCAACTGCTTCAAGCTGTCCATGTTCAGCAGCTAGGTGTAGAGCTGTCTTCCCTGACTGAGCAGAAAGACATACACATACAGTGTATACAATAGTGCTTCACTGAGTGCTTCACTGAGTGAATGGGTTAAATGCAGAGCGGGATTTCCCCACAGGGATCAATAAAGTATGCATTAGTATTATTATTATTACAAACAAGATATAATAATTCCATTAATATCCATATAATAAAAATTCCATTCATTTTCAGCTTGATTTATTTCATATACTGCTCAAACATGTAAGGAAACACTTAATCTGACTATAGCATCAACTAAATAAAATTTCTGGGATGTTGATCTGGTCAGCTAAGTAGTAAAGCACTCAAAGCGCTTTGTACCGGATTCAATAGTGATGGGCTAAAGCTTAGGTCTCCCAGTTTGCCTACCAGATGCTGTGGGATGATGGTATTCTTCTCCAGGTGTGCAAGGTTCCGGTACAGAGCCAAGGAGATGGCATCCTCAATGGAGTGAGTTTGCCAGTAGGCAAACTGGAAGGGGTCGAATTTGGAAGGGAATCTAGAGCTAATTGACCAGGAAACATCTCCTGGACCGCGAGTCTTCTATGAAGAGCCGTTTTTCTTTGTCGCCAGTGGTCGCGGCCGCTACTGTGTGCTGGCGGGGCCCGTGTTCCGGGGACGGAAAAGCATGAGGCAGCAGGCAGCGGCCCGCTCTGGCGCCAAAACGCTGATGGTAGAAACAGAGGTCCTGTCCACGGCGCCGCTGCGCCACGATCTCTGCCATAAGCAAAGGGTGGGATGCTCCGGGGCAGGTCGGCGGGGAAGTGGAAGGTGCCGCCGGCGAGGCAGGAGAATACGATCCGCTACCTCAGCCAGGGAGCGATAATCGTTCGCACCCAGGAGCGGAGAGTTGGCGAGGCTGGCTCTCACGGCTACCGGCAGCTGTCGGAAGAAGATGTGGGCGAAGAGCGAAGAGGAATCCCCTGTTGTCCAGTCCAAGCAAGGATAGCATGTGCTCCATCAGTTCCAGAGCCGTACCGCCACCCAGGCCTGAGAGGGAGAGGAGCTTTTCGGCTCGCTCTGCGTCGAAAAGGGCATAGCGCCGAAGAAGCAGGTCCTTAAGGGCGGTGTATTTCCCTTGGGCGGGTGGGTCCCAGAGGAGAGTCAATGCACGACGGGTGGCTAGCGGGTCGAGCAAGGCCACCACATAGTGATATTTCGTGTCATCGTCAGCCAAGATGCCACGAAGAGCGAACTAAGCCTCCATGTGCACGAACCACGACGGGGGATCGTGCTGTGGCAGCTCAAGCGCCACAGCAAAGGCAGCTGCAGCAGGAGGCAGAGGTCTGGCAGCCGCTGATGCATCCAGAGCGGAGCCAGTGCCACCATCAGGCTGCAGCATGCTTGAGTCAGGGGTCACCAATGTGGAGGTAAACACAGGCGACACGAGGGCTCTTGACTAACACTCCTCATGTATTACTCATTACCACACAACTGAATACTTTTCCCTCCAAAACACAGCAACAACACTTCCTCAGAACTGGGTGTGAGTCGAGCCTCCAGTGGTCCACCACAGTAGGATTATATTTAACTGCTAAAACTTTCTGAACAAGTTTTACACCACTGAAAAAATAATATGTGAGGGCATCATTTTTTATATTTTGACTTTCACTTCCACTCCATTAAGTGACGTGGCATCCTTTATTCCTAGCACATTACTTAATCCATATCAGTATAGATATCCAACATGATTTTATGTTTTGAAAATGTTCCTTTTTGGGGGGCAGTGTATTTTGCGCAAATAATATTTTGCTAGGAGATGAGAAAAGAAAGGAAGTGTTTGTTCTTTTTATGACTCAGTTAGTACAAAATTGCTCTGTAAAGCTAGTAGTCCGTCACCTTTTCAACTCCATCTAGACTGATGCCTTCTAGGTGCTCCAAGATGAACTCCAATACTCTGATGTGTCCTCGCTGAGCAGCACAGTGCAGCATATTCAGACCATCCTAAGATGAAAAGGATATCAGGTCAAGACAATAACCTTGTTATAAATAAGTTGCATTGCAACCCAATAAAAAAAACAAACCCTGTTAAATTCAGATTTTTTAACAGTTCAATGAAATATGGCAGCTCTTACTTTGTTTTCAGAGTTGAGCTTGGCTCCACAGGACACCAGGATCTGTAGGATGTTTAGGTGACCAAACCAGGATGCCAGAAGCAGAGCATTCATCCCAAACTGTGGACGATATTTACAAACTAATGAATCAGAACACAGAGAAAAATGTCTGACATAGGAATGGGAATCAAAAACCGGTTCTATTAGAAGACTGGTTCCCAGTAGTTTAATTCCTTGGAATTTAGTCTGCCTGCCTATCGATTCCAGTTGCACTTGCGCTACAATCAGCTGAATTTAGTGTGCGCTGGAGGACGAAAATAGTGGCACAGTCCACAGTTTGTATATGTACATTGCTATTATTCTTATTGCACAAAAAGGATAAGACCGTGACAGTAAGATGGAAACTGCATCCAGGACAGAAACAACTGCATTATGTTGCTAACACAACTTTGGCTCTTTGCATGCACAGGCAGCATAACAAACCCATCATTGTCAAATTTCTCTAAGATTATGTTAAATGATGGTTTTCACAAGGTATAGCAATTCTATTTTCAATTCAGTTTTATTCATATAGTGCCAAATCACATAACCAGTTGCTGCAAGTCACTTTATATTTAAAGGCAAAGACCCTACAATAATACAGAGAAAACAGACAGCCAAATGACCCCCAGTGTCTGACAACTGATGGTACCCCTGAAAACCAGAACCAATGCAGGGGAATACTGATGCATGACTACCAGTTGAACAACTTTGGCAAACATTGGTGTGGCTGCTCATTGGAAGACACAGTGGATTCGAGCATGTCAGGTGAGTATGGGAACTACCCTCAACCATTTCAACTGAAGGCATGTTTTTTTAGCTAACTGTTAGATTACTGAATTCTTATTGTACACATGGGCTTACAAGCAGGATATGGCTGTAGGGCTATTCACAGACAAAGCTACTAGCTATAATTCTAACTATTCTAAAAATGTCACTACCCATTATGAACTAAATATCAATTTAATTAGTGTTAATTAGTGTGGTAGATGTATGAGACTGACAGCAAAACCCAGGGTAAATTAACTTCAGCAACAATACAAATCCACAGTGAGTTATTCCCCATATCAAGGAATGGTGTTATGGGCGTGTTATTGTTACCACGTTTGCGAGACTAGTAGGGTCGGCATGAGCGCAACATCTGCATGCATGCACAGACTAGCCTATGCCGACAACCCCACAATGTTCCAACTATGAATGCACCGAACCAAACTGTAACAGGAACAGGTGTGTGCCGCTGTCTTTATCCACATCTGTAACAGAATACAATCCCCTTTCAGCTTCCCCCTTGAACTTACAAAGGAATTTTGTAACTAAGGAAGTGAGAAATTGTTCTTGTATCAGTTCAAGTTTACTTACACTGTCAGTCTCATTAATGTCCATATCATGCTCCAGTAGGAGACGCAAAGCCTGTTCATTCCCAGCTCCTGCTGCCCAGTGCAGTGCTTTTCGGCCTACCTACACACACACACACACAAAAGACAATAACAGCACAGCGTATTTCTTGTTTGTTAGTGCTGACATTTTGGATTAAAATCACTTGTCCATAATAATTCCTTTGAGCTCATTCATTCGTTCTTGTGGCAGCTGAGTGCGATGCGGCAGGAATGAGAATCAGGACACCCAAGTCTGAGGCCGTGGTCCTTAGCTGGGAAAGGGTAGAGTGCCCATTCTGGGTAACGGACAAGTTACTGCCCCAAGTGGAGGAGTTTAAGTATCTCGGGTCTTGTTCACAAGTGAGGGGAGATCGACAGATGGATTGGCTGCAGTGATGCGGACGCTGTACCGGTCTGTTGTGCTGAAGAGAGAGCTGAGTGTAAAAGCCAAGCTCTCAATTTACCGGCCGATCTACATCCCCACCTTCACCTAAGGACATGAGCTTTGGGTAGTGAAAGAACAAGATTGTGGTCAGCCATCCGGGAGGGGTTCAAAGTAGAGCCGCTATGCTTCCACATCAAAATGAGCCAGTTAAGGTGGTTCGGGCATCTGACAAGGATGCCTCCTGGGTGAGGTGTTCCGGGCATGTCCCACTGGGATGGAGGTTCCCGGGCAGACCCAGGACACACTGGAGAAAGTGTCTGGAGAATGGAGGTCTGGGTTCCTGCTTAATAATAATAATAATAATAATAATAATAATAATAATAATAATAATAATAATAATAATAAATAATGGATTGGCATTTATATAGCGCTTTTAATGGACCCAAAGTCCTTTACAATGCCACTATTCATTCACTCTCACATTCACACACTGGTGGAGGCAGCTACAGTTGTAGCCACAGCTGCCCTGGGGACAGACTGACAGAAGCGAGGCTGCCATATCGCGCCATCGGCCCTCTGGCCAACACCAGTAGGAGGTAGGGTAAAGTGTCTTGCCCAAGGACACAACGACCAGGATCGAACCGGTTGTAAATAACAAATATACATTTCAAAAAACATGGTGCAGAAACATTTTGTACAAGTCAAAGGAGCTTGCAAAGAAAAGCGTCTGGACTTCTTTAAGTTGCTTGAAGACGTTTCACCTCTCATCCGAGAAGCTTCTTCAGTTCTAAGGTCAAATGGTGGAGAGTCCCAGATATAAACCTAGTGGGAGTTTCCCCCCACAGAGGGACAAAAGGACCCCCTGATGATCCTCTAATCGCCTGAGCCAAGGTGTGAAACTGGGTCGTGGGTCCCAATCAGCCAGAGTTTCGGGTGAGTTCATTGTGAAACCTGGCCCCACCTTATCATGTGAATTCCTGAGGTCAGATGGCCCAGGATGTGAGTGGGCGTTAAGGCGTCTGGGAAGGGAACTCAAAACTGGATTATAGATGGCAGAGAGTTGGTGTCGTAAACCCCGCCTCTGTTCAAAGATGGTCGCTCACAGTGGACACACCATCTTTGATGATCTTTGATCACCGTCTCTGATTATCACTGGTTCAAATGTTTAGGGATAACTGGTAATTAAATTTGATAAGTAATTACATAAAAACAACAACAACAACAACACTAAATAGTCCACATTTTGACAAACATGCTAATAAGGTCTTCTTTAATTTCCGTACATAATCTGGCTACAATGTAGCTGCCATCGCCAGTGTGTGAATGTGTGAATGACTGAATGTAGTGTGAAGCGCTATGGGGTCCTTAGGGACTAGAAAAGCGCTATACAAATGCAGGCCATTTAACATGTACCATGAGTCTGTACCAAGCATGTCACGACCTGCAGGATCAGCCAGGTGCTGATCAGAATCTCTCCACTCCTAGCCCTCCTCTCTTCTCTTTTTCCCTCTCTCTCCCCCTCTCTCCTTCTCTCCCCTGTTTTGCCAGGGCGGAACTCATGGCTCAGCCCCGCCTGTTGGGTTATCATATAGCCCGACGGGCGGGGCTGAGATAGATTTTGGTCGCCCGACCGGAGATATCGCTAGCTCCGGGACGTCGGGCTAGCGATTTTGCGAGCCCTGTGGCGGGTTCACGCCCTCGGTCCACGCCTTCCTGGATTGTGAACACCTGGGCCTCATCAGACCAGCTGGTATATTAGAGGGAGGAGATCAGCTGTTCAACGCTGGATTGTTGTGAAGGCTCTAGTCAGTACACGTCTAGCTCAAGTTTCCTGTGCCTCTGTCTCAGAGACTTAACGAGTGTTTCTTTGTTCCTAGATTCCCCGGACCCGGATTGAACTGAGCGCATGTGTGATTTCCCCGTTTTCCCTGGAGTCCTGGACCCCTGCCCCTCACGTCTTGTATATAGCACTAACCCCGCACTGTCTGTACATACACTTGGTGAAGATCTGTAAATAAACAGTCTCTGTTTAAACGCTACTCAGGAGTCCTGCGAGTGGATCCTCTAAGCAACCCGTGACAAAGCAAGACAATAACCAGGGCATTATCTCAAAAAGGACTTTAGTATAGCATATAATATATTATGTTATAAAATATTATCCATCAATGCATATAGGTGGACCAAAGTCCAGGACAGCTTAGTTATTCTAAGACAAATTTACAAATTTTAAGTGCCGACGGCCCGCTAGCATGCTCTATCAAAAATGTGCTTTGTTGTGTATCTGACGGACGAAAGCTAAACCAGTTCCACATCACTGAAGTTGCAGCATTTTTACAAACCAATTCTGGTTCATCCGTTTCATTCAACGATCCGCTCTCGCCCTTCTCATTCTCCATCGCTGCCATGCTTTTTCCACCATGTGCGTATGAAAACAAAGGCACTGCGCATGCGCGTTTTACCCATATTCTATCGCGATATTTCATTTTCTTATCGTTGCCCAACATTATACCGGTATTACCGTGAACGGTATGATATGGCCCAGCCCTACAATTAACTTCATCATACATAAATAACCCAGGAGTCTTCGAAGTAACTTTGGTCCATCGAGACGACAATAAAATGATAATATGGTCTCCTGTTAGTTTGGAATTGAATATTGGTCAAGGGTTCCCTTTGTTCACTTCAGACTTTCAGTACAACTGTGTATCACACCAGTTACAAAATACTGATGAGCAGGACAAGGAACTGAGAGCAGTAGCAGTCAATGAGAAATCTGTTCCAGATCGTGAATAAAACCAGAAAGATAGTGACCGACTCTAGACAACAGAGGACAGATATTTATCAGAGCCTGTGTTTATCCTGGGACAGGACGTTAGTACACAGTTGTGTTCATAAATGGTAAATGGCCTGTATTTATATAGCGCTTTACTAGTCCCTAAGGACCCCAAAGCACTTTACACAACCAGTCATCCACACATTCACACACTGGTGATGGCAGCTACATTGTAGCCACAGCCACCCTGGGGCGCACTGACAGAGGCGAGGCTGCCGGACACTGGCGCCACCGGGCCCTCTGACCACCACCAGTAGGCAACGGGTGAAGTGTCTTGCCCAAGGACACAACGACTGAGACTGTCCAAGCCGGGGCTCGAACCAGCAACCTTCCAATTACAAGGCAAACTCCCAACTCTTGAGCCACGATCGCCCAAGTTTACATACTCTGGTATATGCATATAGATGATAAAAGAAAAACATTTCTTTCACTCATGGTTAGTGGTTGGCTGATGCCATTTATTGTCAAACAACTGCGGGAAAAGGTAGTTGACTTCTATAAAACAGGACAAGGAAATAAGAAAATATCAGCAGTGTCAAACTCCAGTTAAGAAGTGAAAAATGGGGGTTCTGCTGAAACCAAACCACAGTCAAGTAGACCAACTAAAATTTCAGCCACAACTGCCAGACAAATTGTTTGGGATGCAGCTCCCCCAATCAGAAGCAGGACCTGCAGACTCTTAAAGGTGCCGAACACTCATACACAACAGACCAGACATACTGACACACCGATTCAAAACATGGCCAGGGCCACATAACAGAGTAAGCCAGAATGAGACTAGGCAAGAAAAGAAAATGAGAATTTAGAGGACCCAAGGCTTGGATTTTTAAAGCCATCAACTGCTGACATCCAGAAAAGTCTGTGCTTCAGCATGCTTACTTTGTTTTTGGCATTGACGTCCACACCCTTCTTGATGAGTTCTTGCATTTTCCATGTGTCATTTCTTTTGGCAGCATCGTGAAAATCCTTTTCAGACCACAACACTGAAATCAGACAAAGAAAAAACCTTAAGCGTCAAATCTGTGCTGGAGTTGAAATGTCATTTGCCACCTTTGAACCTAACCCCACCCATTGCATAAAAGTTAATAATCCAAGAAAAAGTTTACAAGAGGAAGACGGGGGTGCAGAAAGAGTGAACTAAGCTACATGAATGTGTGAGCCTGAGTGATGCTCAGGCCACAGGTAAATGGCCTGAGCCAAGTGGCACAACAATTCACTTCTGCCACAGTTTCTTTTGACATAAAGGGACTTTAGCATGACATTCAAGTTCCAGCACCACTCTGCTTGAAGCTAAAACTAAGTCTTTGATCTCTATTGGCATTCATGACCTGTGCTACCATTTGTAACTGTGGAGACACGTATGGCTGCAAAGGAAATGAATTTAGTATGGTTGTTAGCTGTACTTTCTTTCACCCTCATGTTGTGTTCTGGTCAAATTTGACTGATTTAAAACATTTAGCTTTGAAAAAAGTTTCATCAGACTGGCCTGAACATTCCATGACTTTGTCCACGAAAGAGTCCACACACTCAAACGCAAAACACACTCCTTGGGTTCCCTGGCAACCACTACAGAAACATTTTCCCTAGTAGAGCCTCTCTTCCACGGAACAACTCCAACTGTGTTGGCAGTTCTCACAAACAGTTGAAACATTGTTTCAAAGGGATCAAACTTGTTTCATAAATTTGGTTTATAATACTTTTTTGGAAGCAAAGCCCCCCCAAAAAAGCATAGAGGCAACTATGTGGCAACACCAGGGCAGGTTGATATACCCTAAGTGAGGCTCTTGATTACACAGTTGATCACTACACTGGTGAGGACAAGTGAGAGAATGAAACTGACAATGAGGATGAAATAGAGGAGGAAGTGTCAGAAGCTAAAGACAGCACTGAATATAATTTGTGCAATCCCGACCAAGATAAGATGAGGAGGAATTCAGTGATGAAGATGACGCTGCTGTCACATTCAAGAACTTCAGGAACTTATCCCCACCTGACAATCACGTTAGGTTTTCTGCTGAAAATTTCATTAGAACCTGCAAAATTTGCTGTGTCCTGGATGATGACATCAAATCCTGCTTCGAACAGTTACTGACTGTGTTGATCTAAACCATAGCGGCAAACTTTGAAGGGGAAACAAAAACAGAGTTACAAAGAAAGTTGGAAGGAAGTAACCCAGAAACAGATCAAAGCACAGATGAATCTTTGGATGTTGAGTAATGAATTCAGATCCAGAAATATTCAACCGGCAGTTTATGGGATGCAGCGTCTGGTCAGTCAATGTTTCAGGCCACCATGTCACTCCAATAATCTTACATGTTGTTTCGGGTGATTCTCTTTGACAGCCACGATACAGCACCAGGTTGTCATCATGAAGACAAACTGGCGGTGATCAGAGAGGTCTGGGGCAAGTGTGTGGAGTGCCAGCCACTATATTTCAAGTCCAAACGTCACAGTGAAGGAGCATCTGCTGGCTTTTAGGGGACACTGCCCTTTTAAACAGTATGTGCCAAGCAAGCAGTCTAAATACAGCATAAAGAAATGGGCAACATATGAAATATAAAGTATTCCCAGTCACTTTTGACACAACAGGTGTTACTCTGTTTGACTGTAAAAATATTGTAAATGGTCAAAAAAAAAAAACCTGTTCCTGGTAACTTTGACCCAATGTAATCTGTGACAATTGTTTCTCGTAGTCAAAACAATGCAGAAATTACTTTTTAGTAGTCGAATTCACAGGTTATAACCTCGGATTAATGAAACATAAATAACAAACAGAAGTTTAGAAATGGTTTATATGAGAAACAGAAAAGCCACTGGGCTGCTCAGTCACTAACTAACATTACTGTACTTTTATTATGAGTGTTAGACTGTAAGAGTAACAGCTGAATACTAAATGTGTTCAAACAGCAGCATATTTCTCTCTCTCCACATCTGTAAGGACAGGTGAGAATGAGACTTTATTCGAGCTTTGAGGGATAAACTTCCCATCTGACACTGATTCTTCTCTCTGATTACAGGAGCTGCACTCAGATTCAGACATCAGCAACACCCAGTGATGATTTATGCTGAAAACAGTTTTTTAGTACTGGAAAAAATTAACTGATGAAAAAAGAACAAAGGCTAAACTAAGTTAGCCCTAAGTTATTAAGTCGTATTGTATCACGCACTTAACTGTAGATTGTTATTCATACATTCATTTCATTACGTTTGGACAACTGTATTTCACTGTTTATATGTGTAAGCAAAAACTCCCTGGAATTCCTGCAGGTTGTTCAAAACGCTGCAGCAAGGCTTCTGACCAAATCTTCCAGTACTCACATGTGACGCCATCTTGGCATTGGCTCCCCATTGAATTCACATTCCACTTTAAGATTCTGATTCTGACTTTTAGAGCTCTCCATGGACAAGCAGCAGTTTACATTATTGAACTTCTACAGCCCTATGTCCCTAGCAGGTCCCTGAGGTCATGTGATCAGGGCCTACTTATTATACAGCATACGAGGCTTAGAACTAAGGCAGACAGAGCTTTTGCCTCTGTGGGCCCTAGAGGAACCCAGAGGCAGTAAATCGAGAGTAGTAGTAGTAGTCAAGTATTTATTTATTGTCATTGTCAAAGAACAATGAAATTGCGTTTGGGGCTTCCGTACAACCCGTAAAAAAAAACAAATACCCCTTAAAACCCAAGTGTAAATATTTAACCCAGTGTGACTTCAGTGCAATGAGACAATCCTTAGCAACAACACTGGCCTACAGCACTGGCCTAAATCTCGGCAGTGTCTCTTCTTCCTCAAAAGACTTAAAGACTTCCATCTGCCTCTGAAGGTGCTCAAGAACTTCTACTCCTACACCATCCTGACGGGAAATACCTGCACCTGGTATGGGTAAAGCACCAAGCAGGACGAGCTCTCCAAAGAGTGCTTTGCTCTGCCAAACACATCATTCCCTCAGAGCTTCCTGACCTGCAGTCTGTTTACACCAAGTGGTGCAGTACCACAACCAGGAAGATTATGAAGGACCTCTTCCATCCCCACAATGGACTCTTCTCACTGTTGAGGTCAGGGAAGCGCTTCTGCTCCTTTAAGGCCAAAACAGGGAGAATGAGGAGGAGCTTCTTCCCCCAGGCTATTCAGGCCCTGAACCAGGTGTAGGACTGCAATCTCTACACATCACTGTACATGCAATTAACAACAACAATAATCGTCAGTTTTGACTGTTTGATCCAAGACTGTCGATCTGCACACGGCTGATTTGCACACCTTTTTATTTTAATTTTTAATTTCAGTGTGTTCTTGTATTTTTAATGGTTGAGAATTGCACAGCAATAAGCATTTCACTGCATGTTGTACTGTGTATGATTGTGTATGAAAAATAAAATTTGAATTTGAAAATTGAGCCCTGTGGAGTGCCACATGACATAAGCATTAGATGCTTCAGAACTGCAAAGGTTTACAGACAAAGATCTATCTGCCAGATAAGACCTAAACCATTTAAGCACAGTGCAATGCAATGATGTAGCAAAGATATTAAAAATGTTGTGGTCTATTGTGTCAGAGGCAGCAGTTAAGTGAAACAAAACCAGAACAACAAGTTTACCAGTCACATGCAATAGGGATGTTGTTAAACACCCTTAATAATACAGATTATGTGCTATAAAGAGTTTTACCCAGCCTCCCTGGGAAAGTCTATGCCAGGGTGCTGGAAAGGAGAGTTCGTCCGCTAGTCGAACCTCGGATACAGGAGGAACAATGCGGTTTTCGTCCTGGTCGCGGAACACTGGACCAGCTCTTTATCCTCTCAGGATACTTGAGGGTGCATGGGAGTTTGCCCAACCAGTCTACATGTGTTTTGTGGACTTGGAGAAGGCATTCGACCGTGTCCCTCGGGGTGTCCTGTGGGAGGTGTTGCGGGAGTATGGGGTGTCTGGCCCATTGCTACGGGCCATTCGATCCCTATACAACCGTTGCAAGAGCTTGGTTCGCATTGCCGGCAATAAGTCGGACTCGTTCCCGGTGGGTGATGGGCTCCGCCAGGGCTGCCCTTTGTCTCCGGTTCTGTTCATAATTTTTATGGACAGGATTTCTAGGCGCAGCCAAGTGGCGGAGGGCTTTCGCTTTGGTGGCCTCAGAATCTCATCTCTGATTTTTGCAGATGATGTGGTTCTGTTGGCTTCATCGGGTGAGGGCCTCCAGCTCGCACTGGAACGGTTCGCAGCCGAGTGTGAAGCAGCGGGAATGAGGATCAGCACCTCCAAATCTGAGGCCATGGTTCTCAGCCGGAAAAGGGTGGAGTGCCCACTCCGGGTCGGGGATGAGTTCCTGCCCCAAGTGGAGGAGTTCAAGTATCTCGGGGTCTTGTTCGCGAGTGATGGGAGAAGGGAGCCGGAGATCGACAGACGGATTGGGGCTGCAGCTGCAGTAATGCGGACGCTGCACCGGTCCGTCGTGGTGAAGAGGGAGCTGAGTGTAAAAGCGAAGCTCTCAATTTACCGGTCGATCTACGTCCCTACCCTCACCTATGGCCACGAGCTGTGGGTAGTGACCGAAAGAACGAGATCGCGGATACAAGCGGCAGAAATGAGCTTCCTCCGAAGGGTGGCTGGCCTCTCCCTTAGAGATAGGGTGAGAAGTTCGGCCATCCGGGAGGGGCTCAGAGTAGAGCAGCTGCTGCTCCACATCGAAAGGAGCCAGCTGAGGTGGTTCGGGCATCTGACAAGGATGCCCCCTGGGCGCCTCCTGGGTGAGGTGTTCCAGGCATGTCCCACCGGGAGGAGGCCCCGGGGCAGACCCAGGACACGCTGGAGAGATTATATCTCTCGGCTGGCCTGGGAACGCCTTGGTATTCCCCCGGATAAGCTGGAGGAGGTGGCTGGGGAGAGGGAGGTCTGGGCCTCTTTGCTTAGGCTGCTGCCCCCGCGACCCGGCCTCGGATAAAGCGGATGAAGATGGATGGATGGATGGATGGAAAGAGTTTTACCCGACCCACAGGAGGCTATTCATATCTAGAAAATGTTTTAGTTGACATGATACAATTTTCTCTAAAACTTTGGTAAGAAAAGGCAGCTTGGACTGAGGCCTATATTTAGCCAGTTCAGTGTGCTCAAGAACAGGTTTCCTAAGCAATGGCTGCACTACTGCACATTTAAAATTTACAGGAACTAGACCAGAGGACAGACTGCTGTTTATAATAGCAAGAACAGACTGCCTGCCGTATAGCAGTCAAAAAAAAGAAGAGCTGAGGCCTTAATATAGCGAACCACATCCTCTAAGAGTGAGAGGGTCACCGGCTCAAACTGAGTAAAAACAGCAGAAGGGACAGAGGCAGAGAGGCGAGTCAGCAGCGGTGATAACAGCCCTTGTGGTGGCAACCTTTAAAAGAAAACACACAGAAAACCATTGCATATATCAGGAGAAGCGTCTAAACAGAAACAGAGGCAAAGGTGTTAAATAACGTGGGCTATGGCTGTTTTAAGAAATGAAATCTGTAAAATATTCCTTTTTTGCCTCTTTAACAGTATTCTGGTAGTGACACTGGCAGTCTTACAATTTGAAATGACAGCTTTTCCATCTGTGCTCTGCTCTGTGACATTCCCTCCTGATAGCATGAGCTCTGTCATTAAACCAAGGCTCAGGTTTAGAATTAGGCTGCCTGACGTTACTAGCCAGAGATGAACTATTTGTTATTAATCTCCCGCTCTCTTCAACAGCTTGTCCTTTCCTCCAAGGATGGTTTGACAGGAAGAATAAAACCAGGAACAGGAAGGGCCACAAAGCTGATTAAAATCAGCAAAAAACTGAGAGGCAATGGGAGATAATAGCCCAATATTGCTGAACAGGAGGGCGAGCTGCAGTACATGTAAAACCCACATTAAATAAAACACACATCTGAGAGTACAGAGGTACAGACAGGTTAGTCACAGGGAGACTATATGAAAGAATAAGGTCTATTGTGTGTCTGCGCTTATGCAGGGCCCAGTACAGAGTGAGTAACAATAAATAAAAACAAGTTGCCCCCCGTACTGGATAGAACAACAGGGGGAGACGAGCAACTCCTTTTTCCCACAGGATGCAAAATGCAGTCAGCTTATCGTCCCTGAAGCGTCCCGAGCAGGTGAACCTGTCATTAAAGTGGACATAGAGGGGATCATAGCATTAAATGTGACCCATCCTTTCTTGTTGCCAATAAATGTCTTGAGCAGTAGATGGCAGCTAGAACTGGAATTTCAATGTAGGCTCTTATCTTCACTTCATCTACGTCCATCCAATCCTCGCACCTTTACGTCCCATGCAAGTCAGACTTCATGCTGCTGATGTGAGCAATTGCATAGAGTATGTGTCCTGGTGTGAAACCAGTTACTAGTGGTTTGCAGTGCATGCTCTCTGCATTAGTGGGAAACCACTAACTATTCTAGAGCACTCAAAGCACTTTATACAACATGCCTCATCCACCCATTCATACAAGGGTTTTTTTCAATGCTTAATTGCTTTCCATCTAACATTCACACATATTCATACTCCAGTGGTTGCATCATAGAGCAGCTTGGGATTAGTGTCTTGCTAGAGGATATTTGGCATGCAGACTGTCGCAGCCAGGGAACCACAAACCTTCCTATCAGTAGGCGACCCAGTCTACCTCCTAACTAGACACACCATCACGAGACATCCACTCACCATCCACTGCTCAGCCTCCTAGTAGATACACCTATGGTAACAACTTCAAAAATCCTACATAACCTTGTTCAAGTTATTTCATTCACAAGTTTTAAAAAAAACTGACCTCTAACCTTGACCATGAGGTCGATGTCACCGAGATTTGAAGTTCTCCAAGATTTGTAATAGATACACCCATGGTATCGATTTCAAAATCCTCATTATGGAGTTATCACAATCACAAATTTGTATGTCCATGCTGCTCGCCTATCTGGTGGGCAACTATAACCCATCAGCTTTTTACAGCTGAAGGGGGAAAAAATTTAGTTTTCATGGTTTTCAATTCCGCAATTCAGCAAAAATGGTCAAGGGGGGGGGGGGACAGACACAAATGGCCAGCATGAAGCCCAGAGGGCTAACTTAATCTAATGCAATGTTTAAATTAAGGTCCCAGTATGCCTGCCACAACATCATCTCACAGTCACTTGTACCTGTAGGACTATTGTTCCAACATCTCACTCTGTGTACCTGTATGTCTCTAAGCTCCTGTATTGGAATATCACTGAAATGGTAGGAAAAACCGTTACAAAGCACACTTGTGTCTTCAACCCAGCTGGATCAGGAAAAGCCTGATGCACCAGGTTATAACAATTGAGACCTGGTAACACAAAGACTGTGTTCTAACTTCTCAACATGACATGAGAACATGACATTGATTAAAATCATCCACATTTTTCTAACCGAAAACCTTAGATGACGAGTACAGGCTGTGAGGGACAGTTCCCTGTACAGCGGTATCCAAGCCCTCACTAACTACAAAGGATAGAGCCCCCCCAAGCCCCAAAATCACCCTCAAACTCGCGAAAGGAGCTCAACACCTTCTTTGCTTAGGTTGAGGTGGACTGCTCAGTTTGCTCTCTGTGGACTAAAGCTCAGCATTCAACACTATAAAACCAGACATCCTCATCATCAAACTGGACCATCTTCATATCCCCCCCTACCAACTGCTCCTGGATCAAAGACTTCCTCACAAACCGGCCTCAATCAGTCCAACTCGGACCCCAAACTGGGTGTTTGGTACACAGACCACTACTGAGAAAAGCAAGGCTACGCAGAGGGTAATGACACTGCCCAGAAAAATCATTGGCTGTACTCTGCTACAAATTTTGTGGAGGGTGGCACACTGGTCTGGTGCTCATTGGTCTGGTCTAGAACAATGACGAGTGACGAGTCTGCATACAGACAGGAAATAGCAGTCAGAACCACCTGGAGCTGAACCTGCTCAAGATTGTGGCGATATTGGATTGTCGGAGACCCCCCCACGCCTTCCTCCCTCTCACCATCCTGAACAATAAAGTATCTGATGTGGATCACGGATTTGAAGTGGTCCTCACATCAGTCTGTCTGGAACAAGGCCCAGCAGAGGTTGTATTCCCTGCAGCAATTCAGGAAGTTCCACCTGCCACAGGAGCTGATGGTCATCTTCTACACTGCAGTCATCCAGTCTGTCCTGTGTACATCAATCATTGTCTGGTTTGGCTTAGCCACGAAGCAGGACAGGGCCAGACTGCAACGGACAATCAGAGAGGATCCTCAAGCAGAAAACATCTCTGCAGATCCTGGACATAAACTGTTCTATTTTTACAAAAACCAGCCACCACTCAGCCATGACTCAGGTCATATGCATATTGTACTGCACAATCTGCACTATTCAAAATTAATACTTAAGGTTCATCCAGGTTGCTCTATGTTCAGTCTATTTATATCTATCATTCATGCCCAGCTGCAACTTGTCATAGTTTGTATAGTTTCTTAAGACCTTCCACAACTTGCACTTTTCTAACTTTCTAACCTCGTATTTATGTTCTCCTTCTGTATATATGACTTATTTGCTTATTTAAAAATGTTTATTTTTTACATGCAGAGAGTAAAGCGAACCTGAGTCAAATTCCTTGTTTGTGTGCACAAACTTGGCCAAATAAAGATGATTTTGGTTTTGAATCAATGCATGCAACACCTGTTTCAGGTACAGAAAGGCAGCAGTGTCCTCAAGATTGCTTGTTTATTTCTTTTCATTCAAAAGACCCTCAACAGCAGTAAATGTTTCTAAAATAGACAGTATAAAACTGTGGGTGATTATATACATCCATCTTTTATACTGAGTATAGTTACATCTCCTGTTCCAAATGTATCCTGAGCTATGAATGGTTTCTTATTATCCTACAAAGTATCAACAGGCTTTTTCAGTGCAAAATCTAAACAATTAAATGAATAGATACAAAAAATAGAACAAAAAAGAAATCTCAGAAATCATATTGACTTTAAATGTTGATGACAGGAATTTAAACTCCTCAACAGTTTACTCACAGTCACACAAAGAAATCTGAGAAATTGCACTTTTAATTCCTGTTTCCTGTTAATTGCAGTGTGGAGAGCAAATGATCAGGATACTCCAGTCACTCTTTTGTCAAACTTGAGCAGCAACACAACCATCACAGGGGCTTTAATGGGGCAAATAAAATGTGATAGGCTAAGATAACAGCCACTATACAGATAAGATTACCCAAACTGCTAATACATAAACTGTGCCTCTGGGCTGTTGGCTGAGCGTGAGGGTGGGCTTCCCTGCGCCACAGACGGACATCCTGCGCTGAGCGAGGACAGAAATACTTACAGAAGTCGTCCTCCGACAGCAGCTCATCGCCCATGACTGCTGCTCTTCAGAGCCGCTTCTACCGGCCCGGCTCCTCTTCCATCACTAGCCCGTTATCCTTCTCCAGCACAAGTTTATCCTGCGTGCTAACGTCAGTACATTTGTCAAGCTACACATGTCAAAACCAAAGAACCACCATATCCGGTCTGTACCTTCAAAATAAAGCGAGCACGTCTTCAAAGCAGAAACGACGCTTCTCGGTCTTTTTCTGGCAGACAGCGAAACGTGACATTCACCAACTGCTGTGATCTATGGACTCAACTCACCATAAACCACATATTTAATAAACAGATAGATCTATCTAAAATAGATTTTTGGCCTGATAGATTTCACTTGGGACCAGCTCCCAATTTGGATTCTGGAGACAGACACTATCTCTACTTTTGAGATCAGGGTTAAAACTTTTCTTTTTGATGAAGCATATAGTTAGGGCTGGACCAGGTGACCTTGAATCCTCCCTTAGTTAAGCTGCAGTAAGTGTGGGGATTCTGTGTTTCTTCTTCACTCACCTCTCTGTACTCAGTTATTAGTCATTATTAATCTCTGGCTCTTTACCAGAGTGTCTTTGTCCTCTCTCCCCCTCCTCACCCATTCAGTAATGCCGATGGCTGCCCCTCCCTGAACATTGTTCAGCTACAAGTTTCTTCCTTTTAGAAGGTTTTTCCTTCCCACTGACTCCAAGTGCACGCTCAGAGGAGCGTCGTCTGATTGTTGGGTCTCTCAGTATTATTGCTCTGGTGTAAACTTAGAGCTACATAAATAAAACTGAACTGAAATGAATATTGCAATTTTTAAAGCGTGTCCGAGTCATAATGGGGCTGTTTCCTCTCTGTTTCTTCCTGTTTCTCATGTCTCCTGCTTACTTTGGAGTTTATAAAACCATCTCCACCTCTCTTCTTCCTCGCATGGTTTTGGAGCAAAAAGGCAGCTGGTAACTGGCCAGTCATATTGATTCTGTAACGTGTTTGTTGAATCTCTATCTGAATATCTGGTGTGCTGTCTGAATGGCTATCCCACAAAATGACCAATAAAGAATTTGAATCTGATCAAATGAATGAAGCTAATGATCTTGTGTGTCTTTAATCCACTAAAAACAGCTAAAAGGTACTGCAACCATTCCTCATCACTGGCCCAAGTAGAAGATCTCTCCTTGAGGAACAATTTAACCCAGCGCTGTTGTCATTTTAATTTCTATTGTGAAACTGTTATTAATATAAAATGACAAACTTCACACTACAGTCACAACAGTCCAAGTAACCCGCTAATCACATAAAAACTGTAAATTTGAAGCTGCAAGCAGCAAGTGATGTCATTTTATTGAAACACTTATTGTTTCATTACATTTTTTAATGATCAAATATACTTTCATTTTGCATCGGTTGACCATCACACCACATTAGCCAGTGTTTATTTCTAAAAAGGGTTTTAAAAAAATCGCTGTTGGGATGTTAACAAATTTTAACAAAGGTGCAAAAAACAATCGAAGAAATTTCAACCCTCACCTCAGCAGGATGATTATATCAGGCTACAGTATAACAGAAGGAAGCTACAGTGCAGCATGTGTAACACTGTTGATAAATGCTTCAAATGGTTTGTGAGACTGAAGACATAACAACAAAAGTAAATCATTTATCTTTATTTAAGCAATAGCAAACTTTATCAAAGAGTACAAAACTTCAGTCGATCTACTGTTATGAAAATATGCTTACATATTCTGGAGGACACAAAAATTACATTTCTACCACTAGAAAAACCCGGAAGATTCTTCATTAATAATCAGTTCAACATTCAGACAGGGGAGAATGATGCACATACCCCCCATACAAAAGACAAGTATTAGAGAATAGTAATAGGCATTAGTGAGAGCTGCTCTAAGTGCGTTTCTGTGCAATATACAGTACATTAATGAAATGATATTACTAATGATAAAAAACCCTGTAAAGTAAAAATATTCCTTTATTTGCTTTATCAATGTTAAGAGTCTGAACAGATCCTTACCTACACCGTACATCTTCACCTTCACCAGTGACAAACACCATGAAGGCGGTGATTAAAGTATAATTTCTCTAATAGCAACTTGTCAGCAAAAACTTCCCAATGAAAAGGAGAGAAAAAAGCTTCTGAGGTTCACAAATGATTAGAAATGCTTTTAGGCATTAACAGAAGTGCTTATTTGTAGCTGTATATATTTAACCTATATTTATATATTATATATTTAACTTCTTAGGACCTGGCGTCCACATATGTGGTCATCACATTTTGGGTTGTCTAGAACAAAATACTAAATTTTGCTCTACAAGGGCCTGATATCCACTCACGAGGACGTCATCCTCCCACTGTTCTATCGAAATTTAAAACGGATGTCCTCATATGTGGATCAGGTAAAAAAAGAAATCAGGTAATTCTTTGTTTTTACATTCATCAGGTCCCAATGAACCCAAATAGCAAAGAGAAATTAAAAATGCTGCCATGAAAGAGTTCGGGTCTTCGGAGGCTAAAGTATTGATTCATCGATACTTTGTTAGTCCTCACAGCTCAGGTGAACAGAACCTTCAAAGACCTGCTGTGTACCAACACTTCTCCTGTATTTGAAACATTGATCCGTCTAGAAGAGCTCACAACATAAGAGATGACTAAAGCCAGATGCTATGCTTCCAGTTTTTTTTTACATAAATCCCTTTGGATAGTAAGAAAATTACCTTAAGAAACATTAAAGGTGTTAAGGCACACAGACAAATCTGTGCGTAGCAAGAGTTCACACACAAATCCATGATTTATCAATATTTTCGTACCTGAATTTGTTTGCACTGTAGAAACAAATGAAGAAGTACCATGTGTACAAACAAACACAAATGGCTGCCGAAGGACATTTAATGAAATGAATACTACTATAACTAAAGCTACTATTAATAGTATTAAGAATTGTTATCGTTATTATTATTGTTATTATTATTGTTGTTGTTGTTGCTTTCATGTGATATTAACAGTTTTACAAAACACAACATGCTCAGTTACAATTAAATAAAAAAAGTAAATTGTATGCAAAGAAAACAAAATACTAAATTGAAACATTTTTAATTGCAACATATTCCAGTATTTCTTTGATCTTTTTTTGTCTTTTATCAGTTTATCCTCCCTAAAATTATCTTATTGTTCATTTAAAAAAAAAGACTTCTATCACTTGCAGTCTAATTTTTTTGTTTGTTCATAGAGTGAGTTTTGTCATGTGGAGCCGACAGACTTTCCAGCTGCTTATACTCTGTCGGGTCTTTTTACATCAGTTTCAAACTTTTTTTACTTGAGTCACAGTGAGTGTGTCTCTGCCTTAGCGGTGCAGGCTGCTGTCTCATGACATTACTGCATTTTCCACTTCACCTCCAGGTAAACTAATTTATTTATACAGGGAAATGGAGGAGTGGCTGTATGTTTTATGCATATTGCACACGGCAAGCATGAGCGTGTTGATTTAGAGTCTGATTTACTACCAAAAGTAAATCATTTATCAAACACGTGCAAGAACAAAATCAGCCAGTGCTTTTGTTGCATAGGGTAAGACTGTTCCCACGCACATATTAGTAATGAGGGCCATTATTTTGTATCTACAAAAGAAAACACAGTAGTAAAAAAGTATACAGTAACACATTACTTTCCGCTGCAGAAAAACATCCATTAGAAATAATTCCACAAAAAGTTCCAAGTGCAGCAAAACCATCGACAATAACACAGTTTTGTCCATCAGACTATTCCAGCCATTCATTCAAACCCTCTTTAATACTGTTGCACACCACAGCGCATTTAAAAAGCATAACGCTCAAAAACCTTAAAAGCACTTTGAGGTGACTGTTGTTGTGATTTTCTATATACAGTACTGTGCAAAAGTGTTATAAAGAACGCTTTCAGAAATATAAATGCTTGTTTATTGAACCCAAATGTGTTCTGCAGCAGGACAACAACCCCAAACACGCAGCCACAGTCATTAAGAACTATCTTCTGTGTAAAGAACAAGAAGTACTGGAAGTGATGCTCTGGCCCCCACAGAGCCCTGATCCCAACATCATTGAGTGTGTCTGGGATTACATGAAGAGACAGAAGGATGTGAGGAAGCCTGCATCCACAGATCTGTGGTTAGTCCCCCAGGATGTTTGGAACAACCGACCAGCCGAGTTCCTTCAAAAACTCTGCCTTCAAAACAGCATCAATTCTTCTAGGTACACTTGCAAAGGGTGGTCACACCAAATACTGACTAGATTTAGATTTCTCTTTTGTTCCTTCACTTCATTTTGTTGATTGATGAAAATAAATGATAAACACTTCCATTTTTGAAAGCATTCTTTGCTTAAAGTTCTTCTCACCTGCCTAAAACCTTTGCACAATACTGTAAATAAAATTGAACTGAATTGAATCCAATACAGTGTCCAGGTCAGGCCTGCACACCATGATCATACAGAGTGAATAAGCTCATCATAAACGACCATCTGTGATGATACAGAATACCACTGGCCCTTCACTTTTAGGCAAATTGTATTTAGTGGGGTCTTTTTACATTTTCCATGATGTGACTGCACTATCACTGTCTAGGTAAAGGGTTTATCAGTTGGTCAATTTCAGTCAGTGTCTGACGTTCACCAACTCTTCCTTTTGCTTCCGTTTGTTGCAAATTTCAGTTTCTTGACCTCCCTGAGGACGTGGTCTGCCTTCTTCAGCTTCTCCATGGCCTCAGCCAGCAAATCCCCCGGTACATCCTCCTCTTCACTTCCATGGTCCTGGGACACTTTGCTCAAGAGCTTGCTCGTCTTTTCCATCTCTAGAGCCACTTCAGTCTCAAGTTTAATGACATCATCACTAGAACCCCCAGCACTCACAGCTCCACCTCTGCTAGACTCTTTCATCTGATTACAGACATCAGATTCAGACAGCAAATTTCCAATTGAGGCTGACCTGCCCTTGGCTGAGGGCTTGAGAGGAAGGATGGGTTTTATGTTCTTAGAGCTAACCTGAGGCACTGTCGTGACCTGTGCTGGTCTTAAAATAACAGATACCTGAATGCTGTCCTCACTAGCATCCACCACATCCAAAGCAGAATGGCTTCCCCTGAGTGCAGCTGTAGCAGCTACCAATGTGTCTTGACTTCCAGAGCTTTCACTCTCATCATCTGAGTGCTGACCACTGTCTACAGATTTCTCATCTTGCTTTTTTTTCTCCCCGGACAAGTGATAAAGCAGTGGACTCAGGGTAAGGGTCTCAGTGGTTGAGTCATTCAAAGAGGGGACTTCACTCTCGGCCAGTGCGTCTTTTGAATCGACAGAATTGACTGAGGCAGTATTGTCGGGTCCCTCTTTAGGATTACTCTTAGCCGAGGTGCTCTCTATCCGCTGTATGTCAGGCTCGGCACATTCATCAGGCTTTTTGTTGAATTTTGGATGGGAACTTGGACTCTTTCTCAGTGACTCTGTGGGTATTTGTTCCCCACAGTCAGATACCATCTTTGTGTTGCTGCTAACTGTTTCTTCTGTGCAGTGACTCTCGTGTTTATCATCTTTCACATCAGGTGACGTTTCTTTAGCAATCAGCTGCACTGCCTCATCTGTTTCCACCGCTGTTTCTATAGTCTCCTTCCTACTTTCATCTTCCTTCTCATTATCCTCATTACTAATCCCTTCAACCTGCTGGTCTGTCTCAGAGCCAGAATGGGAGGGCTTCTTCTCCTTGGATGGAGGCATAGGAGGGTGAGAGTGTGGCTTGGACTGTAAAGCATCAACATTACTCACAGAGCTGGGTTTATTGGGAGGCATTGGTGGTGGAGCTGCCTTTTTACTGGCATCAGAACTTGTTTCAGAAATCTTCTCATGTTTTGCCTCTTCTGTAGTTTCTTCAACAGGTGAAGCACAGGGTTTTGCTTCTTTCGATGGGGGCATTGGTACCTTCAAATAATATAGCAATTATAGCAAGGCCATGATATCCAAACACAAAGACATGCACAAATGTTACAACATTTCACAATTACAATTTTTAGAAAAATTTGACATACCTTTTTCTCTGAACCATCATTCTTTTGAGGTTCATCTTCATGTGCTGTGCTGGGTTTAGCCTCCTTGATAGGCGGCATTGGAGGTTTGATGACCTTTTTTGGGGGACTGACGTCTGGATCTGGCTGAGCTTCCTCCTCGGTAATTGACACCAACTGTTTCTCTTTGGAGGTCTCACTGCCATCAACATTGGCATAACGTGCTCCATTAGGCATTACGGCATCTTCAAGATCAAGATCCAAGCGCAGGATTCCATCAGATGACACATCAGCTACCTAGAAGAAAAATATACGATTAAATGACACAGAGCACACGGACAGGAAAGAACTGAGTAGAGTTCACCTAAGGGTGAAGCTCAGGAAATTTAAGGAACCTACGGGAACAAGATCAAGGCCAAACTAGAATACCAAGGATTTGTGGAGTAGTGCAAATTAAATCAGTAGGTTCAAGGTGAGAGACAAGCAGTGGGCAAATAAGCTAAAAGTTTCTTTATGAGAATCTGTTTACACGCCTCTGCTGCCTCCTCCATCACACACCCTTGCCTTCACAGACCATCACTACCCTCACTGGGTTTGCTATTCTCCTTTCACCCCATGTGAACTCTGTGAATTAGACTCCACCCCCTTATCTGATAAACAGTCCCTGCTTGATCGTGATAGCTGACACAGCGGTAGTCTAGGGACCTGTACTGCTAGCCAACACGTTTAGAACCTGAGTGTCAAACAGGAGAATATACCAGTGTTTCAGATAACATTCACCTCATGGAGGAAGCTGTACTGCAGAATGTTGCACAATCTGTGAGGCTGTGCAGCCTTCTGCCTGAGGGAAGGAGGTGAACAGTTCATGGGCTGGGTGGAAGGGATCCCTTGTGTTGTTCAATTTGAGAACTATTTGCCGTATCGTACGATATCATCCACATACATAAACTAAGATTTACAAATGTGTACAGTGATTTGTGTCTAACTTTAATCATTTTGGGGGCAGATTTCAGCACTCTTTGTTGTGCCTTCTTGTCAGAATGGTCTCCACTACACAATAATAAACAGAAGTCAGCACAGCTGCACCAAAACCATGCTGCTTCAACCTCATTATTAAAACAAAACAAACAAACAAACAAACAAAAACAGCTGTTGATGGCCTCATGAGATATGCAGACCAACACTGTGAGTTGATGATGCAATCATCTTCATGATGCAGAGACCTTACTTTCATGTAGAATAGAATAGAAAAAAGTAGAAAAGCCCACAAACAAACAACAACTGAATGCTGCAGTAAAGGCCTGCAGAGCATTAAAAAGGAGGAAACCAGCATCTGGTGATGTCCATGAGTTTAAGACTTCAGGCTGTCATTGCCAGCAAAGGGTTTTCAGCCAAGTATGAGAAATGAACATTTTATTTTCAGTTAGCTAATTTTTCCAATTACCTTTGAGCCCCTGAAATGAAGGGGTTGTCTTAAAAATGCTTTAGTTCTTCACATTTTGATGCAATCTTTTTGTTTAACCTGCTGAATTAAAGTTGGAAGTCTGAACTTCAATTGTATTTCTTTCACTTAAAATTCATTGTGGTAAAAAATGTCTTAGCCTTTTTAATTATTATTGTAATGAGGGCATAAATCAGAGGCAAGCTTTAGGAAAAGCAGTACACTAATTACTTTTTGACTCAGTCTTGTAGACATCCAGAGTTTCAGGAAACAAATTCATCAACACGTCATCAATGCCAGTCAAGTAACAAAATTGTAGGCCAACAAACTGACCTTATTTATTTATTTTCACTTTTTTAGTTCACAGATCGAGATTCAACCCAGAACCAGGAAATGGAGAGGATTATGGGTTATGGGCCTGGATCCGTTCATAGTGGCTTATTTTGTTCTGGGATGATCTGTTAAAAAACGTCATCCTTCCAAAACTGTCCTGAAATATGTCGAATCTAGATGATCAGTTTACAAACAGCTCTATAAAAGCCAAGGCCCTTGTGACATATTTGCCTTTTTCTGAGAAAACCTTACATTCAAAAAACCTTTTTTTTAGTTAAATGTGAAACAGCAACTATCAGTGAAGACTGACATCAGATCAAATCATCAATACTCACACTGGGAACATTAAAGTTTTTCTGATCTCAAACATTTAATTTAATAATGGCAGAAACAATTGAATTCTTTATTATTGGAATTATAGAAAAAATGAAATGTTCATAAATAAGTGCAGAAAAACCTTTTATTGAATAAATCTGAGCAGAGGGTGGATCCATGTTGCTCTCACAGGTCCATCAGTAAACTGTCTAATCTGTTCCTTCACACCTTTTCTCTTATATACATTATGTACATTTTGAATAAATACATTCAAAATTAATGTAAAATTAGGATTCAGCTTCATCTACTGAAAGTTCAAGCTGGCTGCATGATGATCGTGGATATAATAAAATGATGCGTATTATGTCAGACTCATTCTGTCTGTGATGATGACAAAGTTGCCCAAGCTGATTAAAATGACTCTTTTTATATCGTGGTAGGCACTGAAACTTGTTCATATTCCTTAGATCACATGACCTTAAAACTCACTTTTTGTTTACATGTTGCCATGGTGAATGATAATCACACTTAACTCATGCTTAACATCCTCGGAGCTAATTGAACTTGCTCTGATTGGCTGTTTTGGAACAGGAAACTCGGTGTTTTGCCAATGTCAGAGTTAATTAACTCAGAACATGCTTACAGAAACAGGAGCCTGCTTTTCTACCCCACCATGTAAGCCTCAGTAATTTCCATCCACTATCTGCGCTTCCTGTGATATGCAATGCAACCTGCCAGTTCTTCAGTGACATTCGGTAGAGTCATTTCCTTTCTTGCATAAGTACTGTGCCTTGTTGGAGATTGTTGGAGTCGCTCCTTTTTAGGTACTAAATTATTATCAGAGGGTGATACGTTGCTCTTACTCTCAGACATGGCTGGGCTTGTGTTATTGTTGCACAAGCAATGACATTGTGACAATATAAGTAAAATTGATATTGTGAAAAATTTATAACAATATTATCACAGGCATTATTATATGGCACAGCTGCAGTCAAAGCCCCTTACTACCATAAATGGTCAATATGATATCAAATCTAAATAATATAAATCTATCTAAAACCACGGTGACTCACTATTCTAACTCACTGCGGTTGGCAGCTTATTTTTAATGTACTGGGCCCAAACAAATAGCATTTCTATTAGAATATAGCATCCAGTGGCATACAGCATGGATATTTTTGATTTTAAATAACAGGTAAATCCTGGCGTTACTAATCACATTCATTCTGGCTCTGCATCTTAACACAACACAACCTTAGTAATGTAGTTATGTTGATTAGTTACGATGTGGGTTTCATGTCAGTTAATACAAATCAATCAAAGACCCAGGTAACCATGGAAGCAAAGTTTGTATTAAGAGCAAATTAAAACAAAAGACACGTTACAACAATACTACAAGCACTATTTCAATTTGACACGCACCTCTTTCATGTGTATCCTGGTCGGTGGACGCCGGTTGCGGTTCCCTTTGGGTCTTGTTCGAGTAACGTGCTCTAAGTTGCTGCTTTGATCAATCTTCACCTGTGAAAATAAGAAATAATTTGAGTTTTAAAACTACATGCTTATTAAAACCGAGACAAAGAAAAGATTTAAGATAAATTTATGGCTCTATCGCATGTTTACCTCATCAAAAATTTTATTCTTTGCTCGATTAATGCCATCACTGAGGGCTTTAATCCAAGCCTCCTTGTCCTCCACTGTCTGAGCCTGGAATTTAACATCATGGACCTGTGAATGAATGAAGCAGACAATAGTCAACTCAAACTAAGGTAGATAATCGAACAGAAGATCTGCGACACAATAACAGGAGTATTGACAGTTTTTTCTTCTATTTTTAAAAACTGTGCTCATTGTGTTTTTTTTAAGAATAAGAAATAATCTATTTAGGCCACAGGCCCTTACGTATGAATTCTGGTTGTGCTTACTGACCATGAAACGATTTTATGTGGTAGATGGCGCTCAGAAATCTGTCAAAAAATGTTTTAGTACGACTTTGCTAAGCTACGAAGCCGCACTGCTTGATGGATTGTTGGAGCATTACGTCAGGAGCCTCACGGAGTCATCTGGGTCCAAAACTCCATTATCTTCTGTCTAAAAACTGAATTCTTTCATCTTTAATAAAATGATCAGCGTTGCTGCTTTACCAGGTGTAACTATTAAGTTTAACATCCAGGCATCCATGAAAACAGAATTTATTAAATTTAACGGAGTTAGAAGTTAGCAGGAAGTTAGCTCGCTAGTTTCCATCTAAGCATGATATAGCATGTCCTGACTGAGAGATTTCTGAAAGAATTCAAACGTACAGCTCTGTTATCACTTCCAACATAAATGAAGACAGAAAACTAAACAGCAGTGACGTTTGTAGCGTTACTGAAGTTGGGCTAGCTGGTATATAATGATGTGCTATGTGATTGCTAGCTACACAGCTATGTTAGCATAACATAAACACAGTGAAGCTGGAGGATGAACGCTAACTTTTTTCCACTCGATAAAAGTTAACGTGAGGGATTCTGGTGGTCAGGGACAAATGCAATCACATAGCAGGATGCTGTAAACGGACCAAACTTCAGTCAGGAGAACAACTGAGATAATCCATCCACAATACGAGGTTAGTTATTAATATACTGCAACAACATGGGAACAGAGCAGCTGCGAGAGAATTCAACATTAATGAATCAATGTTACGGAAGTGGAGGAAGCAAGAAGAATGACTGAGTAAAGTTTGACTTATCAATTTATCTGTTTCGCTTAATGCGCCTTATAATCCGGTGCGCCTTATCGTCCGAAAAATGCGGTAGGTCTTCCCCGAGCAGAGTTAATAAACATGTGCAGATCAGGAAAAGAACTCTAACTTTTCTAACTCCCAAAGGTTTTATTAGAAAATAGGAAATTTCCTGTAGGGAGTATGACTGTTGATGCTCGTCCCGTGACACTATGTCTGAGAACTGTGAAACCCCAAAAACTACCTGCAGCCTCAACTGTCATTCCTCTCGTCTGCCGGCTACCTTGATTTTCAGCCACTTATCACATTTGCCAGTGTCTAAGCAGTCCTTGATATCATTTTCCTGTCATATTCCTTCATCATTTATCAAATCAGCCTTTGGAGAACTGGATGCAGCTTCCACCATATCATTCTGAGCCATTTGTGACAGCACTGGTAACCGTGACCCGCTGTTCATTCGCATCACTGGCTGCAGGCTCAGTCTGACGTCACCAGCCGTGTCTGGGCCTAAACTCCGCTGCAGGTCCATATATCAAACGATCACTATGGCATTACTGAGAGTTGAAAAACTGTCTAAAGTCTTTCATCTTTAATAAAATGATCAGCGTTCTGCTCTACCAGGTGTAACAATTGAGTTTAACATCCAGGCATCCATGAAAACGGAATTTATGACATTTGACAGAGTTAGAAGTTAGCAGGGAGTTAGCTCGCTAGCTTCTATCTAAATACAATATAGCATGTCCTGACTGCGGGGTTTTGGAAACAAATTAAAACGTACAGCTCTGCTATCACTTCCAGCATAAATGAAGACAGGAAACTAAACAGCAGTGACGTTTGTAGGGTTACTGAAGTTGGGCTAGCTGGTATATAATGATGTGCTACGTGACCGCTAGCGACACAGCTATGTTAGCATAATATAAACAAGCTAACTTTTTGTCCACTCCATAAAAGTTAACGTGAGTGTTCTCGGTGGTCAGGAACAAATGTAATCGCATGGCAGGATGCTGTAAAAGGACCAAACTTCAGCCAGGAGAACAACTGAGATAATCCATCCACAATACGAGGTTAGTCATTCATATACTGCTGCATGGGCTGGGCTGTAGCTACATCCTAAGGTTTTAAAAACTGAGCTTAAATAAATGATTAGCGGTAATAAAAGCCGAGGGAGGTCAACAGGGATCACTGACTGTTTTAGGAGCTTTTTGAGATCAAATAGAAGAAAATACATAACATTAAACATGTTAACAACACAAAAGCCATATTAAACGCAGACTACTTTAGACCCGGAAGTAGGATTCGTCGTGTCATCACTGAACAATCGGATTGCTCACCAGCATCGCTGCAACCAGCACCACTAATCTGAGCCTGCTGCTTACCTGCACCACGATCTACAACGTGTTCTTTGTGCAGGCAGGACAAATGTTTGTGACAGGGACAGAAAGAGATAGAGAGACAGACTCTTCTCTCACCTTATTTGTGGACTTTGCCGATCGTATGAGTATAAGTCTTTGCTTCTTCGTGAAGGGGCTCTTTAATTCATGACATTTGTCATAGTTTTCCAGGTCAAGCCTCTCCAAGCAGTTCTGTAGGTCCTGCAACACAAATGACTGATATTTGAAAATTTGTGTGTATAATTTAAGGATAAAGCCAACATCATTTTAGCTTATTATCTTATCAACAAGCAAGAGAGAAATTAGACCATCTACTTGATTATCTGATGTTAAATAAAAGTTAACAGCTGCAAGACTACAAGAATTAAATGGCAATATTGATATAAGTTAATATTCTCACACCCGATGTATTGAAACTTTATATACCTCATTTTCATACACCACAATCTCGGTCTTCTCCACCTGGATGTAGCGGTCTTTATAGCTTGCCAGCAGTCTGCCATAGCCCTTCTTCAACCAGCCAGCCTTACTCAGGAACTTAGGCTCTTTCTGGAGGGCTGGGTCCTCTTTTGCACCCTGTATTGATACAGAGGAAGGAAGTCACACTCAGTACACACCAGCATACTTGCAGGATGCAGACAATTATATTCACTTTCATTTTATCACTGCTCTAAATGACGGTCGTACAATATACCTGTACAGGAAGAGAACAGAGGTGTTGATTCTCTTCTGCACATTTTCACCAACGTGGAATCCAAATTTATGAGCAACTAAAGTGATTTATTAGCATGAGCACATATTAAAGGTTATATCAAGTAGTGTTACTGTCATTTGTCACCCACAGCCCACAGAAACTGTCAAGATACTGAAGCCTGGATGTGTCAATGTGATAAAAGTGCTGTTTTTCCTGGAGTTTTGTAGAGTCCTCATTTTCCTCTGCGTCGTCGATTCTGTCACTAGTTAGTAGAGCTGGGCGATATGAGATTTTTTCATATCACGATATGTTTTTTTCATTTCAGGCGATAACGATATCTATCAC